TCCAAGAAAGTAAAAAACAGTGAGATGGAAAGCAGGACAGAAAAGTCAAGAAAATTAGTGGATGAGTTCAGGAGATCCAACATCCAAATAATAAGAGGTTCAGAGAAGAGAGACAAATAAAAATGTTGGTAAGCAGATAATCAAAAGGACTTCCCAAGAAACTTAAAAAAAACTGCAGAACATGGAGTTTTCAGATTGAAATTGCCCACTGAATCATGCAAGTTCTCAAACATGTAGCTTCCACTCACTTTTTCTCAAGAAGTTACTGGAGGTCCTGACCAGCATGGTTCAGTGGGTTGGGCATCATCCAGCAAACTGGAAAATCGCCCGTTCAGTTCCTGGTCAGGGCGCATGCCTGGGTTGCAGGCCAGGTCCCTGGTTGGGGGTGTGCAAGAGGCAGCCGATTGGTGTTTCTCTCACACATCGATGTTTCTCTCCCTCTTCTTCCCTCCCTTCCCCTCTCTCTAAAAATAAATAAGATCTTTTAAAAAATGAAGAAGAAGTTACTGCAGCATGTGTTGCACTAAAATGAAGAAGTAAACCAAGAAAGGAACACAAAGGGATAGAGAAAACGAAAGGTGCAACACAAGAGAAGGGCGAAGGGAGGCCTGAAATGGCAGTGAAGACTGATTCTAGGGTATCAGCTGTGCAGCAGGCATAGAGAGTTCTGTCTGGACAGGGCCGGTCCGTTGCACCATGAGGCTGATGGAATACCCAGCGTGAATGAGAGTGAGTACTGTAGGGGACCGGTTTGTCTTGGCCTGGCAAATGTGACTCAGCTCTGTATGGAAAACCTACAGATGCGAGTTGGTGGGCAGGAGCCAGACCTTCAAACCGAGTTTTCCCGTGGGAGTCAGGCCTAGAAAATGCATACAGACTGTTATGGTTTGCTTTCGCTAAAACTCCCTCACCCTGGTCTAAAACAACAAATGTATATTGTTTATCCTCAAGGTAACTTCCAAAGCCTGTGTGAGCTCTCCCAAGGACAGAGCTAATGAGCTCATTGCCATCCCCCTCTGCATGCTATTTTTATTTCCTTGATTGTACCTAGAATGTAGACAATAATGTTCTATGTGATAGATGTTAAATCTTTCTATGATGTAAGACCCCAGGAAAACAATAAAAGCCTGTCTAGGCAAGGGTCGGGGCGCTCCTCTCTTGAGGGAGTGGCCGAGGCACCACAGGCCCTCTCCCCTTGAGAGAGTAGTCGTGCCTGTTCCCTTTTTCCACACAGGATCGTTGTCACCTGTGCATTGATTCTTGTCGTAAACCACAACAGGCAGACTCTGCTGGACAGGGTCTGCAACAGAGTACCAAGAGGAGAAATTGACAATAGCATTTTGAAGCCGAATACAATCTTAGCAAATGAAGGGGAAAAAGACAAGTTTAAAAGCCAGTGGAAAAAGTATTATAGATGAGAGAAAAAGTAATCATAGTTTACTGAATGACTGTTTTATTTCCTGATCTGAATAAAGTTGACAATGAGTCGAGATCTTACCAACATGTTAATATGTCTGTGTGTACTGGGAAGATGGTGCTGGGTGGATGGATGAGGAGCATGGCACCCAGTGGCAGTCAGTCCTTACTTGCTCTCAGCCATCCCAGCCCTAGGCAACCGCCAGTCTGTCCTCTGTCTCTGTGGGTTTACCTGTCCTGGATATGTCGTGCAAAGGGGCACATATAACATAGGGTCTTTCGTGCCTGGCTTCTTTCACTTAGCATAATATGTTCTTTTTTTTTTTAAGATTTTATTTATGTATCTTTAGAGGGAAAGGGAAGGAGAAAGGGAAAGAAAGATCAATGTATGGTTGCCTCTCGTGCGTCCCCTGCTGGGAACTGCCCTGCAACCCAGGCATGTGCCCTGATTGGGAATCAAACTGCGATCCTCTGGTTTGCAGGCCTGCACTCGATCCACTGAGCTACACCAGCCAGGGCTCACTTAGCATGATATTTTCATGTACCATCCATGTTATAGCATGAATCAGTACTTTATTTCTTTTTATTGCCACAGAACACTCCATTTCATGGACATAATGTGTTTTGTTTATCCATTCGTTAGTTGATGGGCGCTTGGGTTGTTTCCAGTTTTTGACTGTTATGAATGATGCTGCTGTGATTAGTTGTGTGCCAGTTGTTGTGGGGATGACTTCTCTTGTCCTGGATGTGAGCTGAGGAGTGACAGTGTGCGGTACTTCTACACTTAAGTTTTTTGACGAACTGCTAGACTGTTTTCCCAAGTAGCTGCGCCATTTTATATAATCTCTCGACATCCTCATCATCAACATTTATTTCCCAACGTTTTTTTTATGATAGCCATCCAAGAGGGTGTGAAGTGGTATCTCACTGTAGTTTTGATTTGCACTGAGATAAATTTGGAAATACAACATGTTAGAAAAACAAAATAAGTTGTCAAAACCCTATCCTGGCAAAACCTTGAGAAAATAAATGCTCATATTAGGGGCGCAGTTTGGTAAACATTTTCGAAGGACAGTTTGATATATCAGAATGTGAAATGTGCTTAACCTTTGACTAGATTTCCCATTTCTGGGTATTTGACCAAAGGAGAAAAATTATTTGCAGGGGAGGGGGTGGATTGTCTTCATTGTATGACTCATAATACCAAAATCTTGGAAACTAACTTAAATGTCTGTCAAGAGGAAACTAGTTAAAGAAATGACTATGGAGACATAAAATATCTGGACAGTCATTAAACATGGTAATGGAGGTACAGTATAGTTACACTGCCATCAGGATCTATCCATCATGTGTTGATTGGGGCGAAATCCGATCATTGGATACCTGCCTAATAAGATCTCATTTGTGTATAGTGTCTTTATGCTTAGAGAGATTTTTTTTTGAAATGGTGTCCAAAATGTTAACAGTGATTATATACTATTGGTGGAATTTTAGGTGATTTTTTTTTAACTTTGTGCTTTGAATTTTTTGTATTTATTTAAAACCAATCTGTAATTTTTTGAGAAAATTATAAAACTATTTTAAAAGCCTATGTGTTTGAGAAGTCACATTTTGTGCTTAACCAAGGCTTGAATTTTAGTTAAATACCCTTCTCCTATCATTATTTTTTAAACGTCAAAACCATCTACTAAAGGTATAAAGAAATTCATTGTTGTGGTGATTACATCCACCTGGGTATGGAGCACTGTCCTGGGCTCCCTCTTCAGAGAATTTTGTGAACTTTAGCCTTTATAGAGTTATTTTTATGTGGAAGTTGCCAGATACTGGAACTTGGGGGACGTGCCAAAGCTCATGGGTAAGTCAAAGGTTCTCTATCTGTTCTAGTTGTTGGAATAATTGTTTGGGGTTCACATATTCTCTCTCTTCCCCTCTATCCCCCTGTGCAGGAGAATAACATTAAAAACAACAGTGAACTTTCTTTGAGCTTGTTGTGAATTAGGAGGAACTGTTCTAAATACATTTCATGTGTTTTACTCATTTAATCCTCACAAAAAAAGTCCTATGAAGTTGAAACCATAATTAGGTTATTTTGTAGACAAGGAACTTGTAGAAGCACAGAGAGGTTAGGTAACCTACCCAAAGTCACTCAGCCAGGAAATGCAGAGTGGGGATGGAGCCGAGTGAGTCTGCTTCCAAAGTACCTGTGATCTTAACCGCTACATGCCTTGGCCTCTCTGACTTTATTCCTAAATGAGACTCCAACCACTTTTTGCTTGTTTACTTTGTTTCTCCCCACCATGGTCATTTCCACCAGAAAGGTCATGGTTGCTGAGCTCCTGAATGTGCCTGACCCGGCTTTCCTACAGCAAATGCTCTGTGGAGTCATCTCTTTGCTGTTCGGATATTTACCCCCTGATTTATTTAAGATTTTACCTTTTTTTTTCACATTCTTTTTATGATAAAAGATGTTTGGATTTCTTACTCCTCAAAGATAGAGATGAATCTGGGATTTTTTTTTAAAACTGTGTTTTTAGGTGTTTCGGTTTTGCATCAAGACCTATCAGAAGAGTGCAGAGAGCTGAGACAGCCAGCCTTCCCTGCCCTTCCCCAGGACTGACCAGCACCCCAGCCTCGGGCCGTGCAGGGTGTCCCGTGCCTAGCCTGAGCTCGGAGTCTGACCACTGGGGAAAGCCTAGGCTTTATAAGGCTGTCATTCACTCTGATTATAAGAGTGATACATATTTATCGTAAAAATTTAGGGAAATACAAAATGGGTAAAGAAAAATTAAAAGCACTCGTCACCCTACCATCACGTGACAACCAATAGGAACTGTCATTCCCTAACCTGTTTGTCTCCTCTTTCAGCGATTCACATTCCTTCAGAAAGACTATTTAAGTCTCCTAAATAAATGACTCACAGATGATGAGTTTAGAAAATGCCCATCCATGGAGTTTAGTGGGTAGGGTCATTGTTAAATATAAAGATATACCAGAGTTGGTGAAATTTAAATTTCTTAATTTTACATTCTAGTTTGATTTTTATTGATGAAAGAAAAGGAAAAACTGTGCATATTTTAAAAAATTGTATGGAATCAAACAAAAAGGTATAATGACCTCAGTGGTTTTATTTGCTCCTATAGGTGACTTTACCATTTATTTTTGCTTAACATGGGTTACGTGTACAGCAAGCTTCAATTGGTGCTTATGAACTGGCTGCAAAGAGGGTTCCCATGTACCTCCCTACAATCTACCTGAAATACTATTAAAATGTAACTTTTGATATTGGTAATTTGGCTGTTATTGTATTTGCTGTTTTGTTGTGGCTGAAATTTGGTAAAATTTATTTAGAATATTATACTATTTCCCCAGGTTATACATCTCAGGATTAAAAAATCAACAACAAAAGAAACTCCTGTGATACAGTACTCGTAATAATTCTGTTAAGTTTGATTCAAGTTGAAATGGCTTGCACTGAACATTATTTTTAAAAGCCATTTCTTAAAAGAGTGACTGCGGAGAATGAGTACAGAAGAGACTTGTGCAACAATAACAACAAAAAACATCTATCCTCTCGTGTTTTCCAGGCATCTGGCCAGCGGAAGAGGTTTTGGCTTACTACTGCCTCAGGCACAGCGATGTATTCAGGTACCAAGCTGCACTTACAGATACCTTCTTTAGCCCAATATGGGTATTGTGTCTGCATATTAAAGATTGTTATAATTGCATTCTTCAAATTAAGTTGTTTCAAATTTAACACACAAGAAAAGAAAGGAAGGGAGAGAGGGAGGGAGAAAAAGAAAACAGAAAGACAGGAGAAAAGTTCACAGTGGAAACATGTTGCTTCTGAAAAAACCTGAATTGCCTTTGGGCGCTGATACTGCACAGCAAGCTCGTTGCTTTATGTCAAAGACTTTTGATTTCCACTCGCAGCTTTTCATTTCACTTTGATTTGGGGGAAACAAAAGTGAAGCTCTAATCAATCCTTACTGATTGTAAAGGTCAAAAAACAAAAACAATAAAGATATTCTTTAAACTTCTGCTAGGGAAGTTACTACAGAATTTTTCATAAATAAATACCCCACAGCTATTATTTAAAGATGCCAGCCCACTCCTGGTTTTAAAGGTGTTTTATACTTAACAACATGTATTTATAAAATATAGTAACAAATAGTAATTACAGATTCATGCTACTGAAATAAATGTTTTTAACTGTCAGTGTGTATTATAGATCAAACCCATGGATTAGATTTAGGAAAAAGGGGAAAAAGGCTCCTTTTATTTAAAAATTCTAAAGCTGTTTGGTAGACCCAGAAAATATAGGTTTTTCATTTTAAACCTCATTTTATAAAAGTCCTCCAATATAGACTTCCTGAATAGCGCATTATGATTCCAGACAGGCTGTTAGTGATCATGGTAAGTGTGTTTTAACAGTATGTACTTACAAGACTGGGTCAATAATATACATTTTTTGAAGCTCTATGGGTCCGTATTTACCAACCAGTCTATAATTGCTTGAACAACTAAATGCTCATTAAGTGTATTTCGGACTATGAATGTTCTTGTTTGGATTCTTCTCCTCCCCTTCTCTCTTTTTCCTTCTCTCCCTCCCTTTTAGTGCTGCCTTTTCCCCCCCTTCTGGTGAGGTAATAAACTTCCCAAACTGGGAAGAAGAAACAATCTTAAGAGTCTAAGCATATAAAATAAGAACAGGGCTGCACTGAATCTGGGCTGCACAGCTGCCCTGCAAGTCTGGCACTCGCTCCTCTCGCTGCGCTTAAGCTCGGCTGCAGCCCCAGTCAGCGAGCAGCGGGCCAGGGCGAGAATGTCACACGTTGAGGACTGATATTTAGGCACAAAGAGGAAGGTAAGTGCAGAGTGCCACATTAGACTGTCAGCTTTAACTCTGAGCCGCTTTACTTTGGAGCAGTGAAGTCAGCGCCCACTCATTACTTTAGCCTGGGTTTGCTGGCTGTAACCACATTATGTCCCTGCATTGTTTATTCACTGTGTTGTGTTGGGGTCAATTGTGATTTAAGTGTTAATTGCTAAATGCTCTTTGTGTTATTGTTCTTTACGGGGCTGAGTCAGCTTTCCCAAATGTTTCGGTTTGTTTTAGATTTTTTTTTTAAATTCAAGATTGCATTTAATTGTGTGTGTGTTGTGTGTATGTAACTATAATATAGGCACATACACACTCACATATATTCGTCATTTACTTGTCTAACTGTTTTTGAAGGAATGAATGTGGATTAACAGTGTTATCCTTTCCTAACAATTATCTTTCGCTACTCTAGCTAGTTTAGTTCTAAAAGACAGCACCATTGACAAGGGGAAAAAAGGGAACCTTCTCAGATTTTTCAGCTCAGCGGTGGTAATGTTGCAGTGAACACTAATGAGGGAACCCCCACTGATTTGCCTGCTTTGTGACTTTTCTATTTCATAATTATTTTTAAAACGCAAAACGACATGAGGCAGCCTTGTCTTGTCTCTACAACTTCCTGGTAGTGCCGTTCTTACTGCAGATGGTAATTTGTTCTTGTAACATATATATCTCTCTGACCATTTTCATCTGATTTGTATGGGTTCTACCATTTCTTTTCTCTCTTTCAGGGACCTTGCTGTGTGTGAGCTAGGGGGTGGCATGACATGCTTGGCTGGGCTCATGGTAGGTCTTTTCTCAATTCCAATCCCATTCAGAGGGAGGAACAAAAGGGAAAATGTTCCAGGGCCTCCAACTGCTGGGTCAGAGAACCGTCAACAGCATCAGCTGCGGTCAAGCTGCCGGGACTTGAGAGACCTTCTAGATTGACTTACTTTCGGATCATATTGATTTTATGGTTGCCTTGATGAGCAGAAACATTTTACCTCAGTGTAGTCAATATCGCTTGTCGTGACATTCCAGGCCTCGCACGGTCTTTCTTTGCCATAGTGAAAGCATTTTTTTTTTTCAGATTATAGTCCTATTTGCTAAGATACAGGAATAGCCCAGCGAATCACAGTTGGAGCACCATGATATAGCTGCTAATGTTTTGCCTGCATTATTACACCAACAAACATGATCCAGAGCGCTCAGTAATTAGATTCTTTTGAATTAGATTGGCCATTCAGGAACGTCGTTCCCCATTCTCTGGGTTCTGAGTCATGTATTCAGGAGATACTATGTAGCAGCACAGTGCATTAGACAAGTTTTTATGTCTCTACAAATAAAAGCATATTGTTACACTGATTGGCATTTGACAAACCTGTCGCTCTTACACAATGTGTCGAGGTTACAGCCCAATGTGCGAGCATGTCAAAGCTCACAAAAAAATTACCCTCACAAAGCCATCTGCCTGCAATGCAAAGTTATATGAAGGGCATCAGGCAGTCAGACAGAAGCAAGCTGAAAGGCAGAGTGACAGCCTTGTATGATGGCTCTACTAGATAAACAGAAGCCCACAAATGAAAGCCTCTCAGAATACCATCATCCGCTGTCACAATGCAATTACCGAACAGAATGATAGCAAGATAGAGGCTCCCGCAAATGGAATGATAAAAGTATTGACTGATTTGATTGAATGATTAAAATAATGCAGACATAAAATGAAAAAAGATTGAAGATTGTTACAGAGAAATAGGTGAGGAAGCATGATACTGAAGGGTTGTCACTCCTGCCTTCACTTCCACACAGACAAGCATATTTGCTCATTGTTTGCTGTGCTTCTTTTTTTTTTTTCCAGGTTGCTATTTCTGCAGATGTCAAAGAAGTTCTGTTAACTGATGGGAATGAAAAGGCCATCAGAAGTATCCTTATTCAGATAGAAAACAGGTTTGTTGTGCTCATTCCTTTTCCCCACTGAGTAACAATTGATATAAAGAAAGGCAGCATGGGGTATTAGAAAGAGTTCCCCCATATACATGATAAGTAATTAAGAAAAAGTAAAAATATATGGGTAAGACTAAGTATTTTTTTTTATTTTGGTAGATTTTTATTGTCACTTCTCAGGAAAGGAGCATGTGATTTGTGGACCACTCAAAGCGATATGAACATTTATTTCATAATAATTTTCAGGCATTCTTATTCTTTTATTTCCATTGAAATTCACCAGTATAAAATAAATTATTTAATATTTATTACATTAGATACTGCTTACAAAAATTAACTTCCTCTTCATTATGACGTTTCTTGTGTTTAATATTTTACTTACGCACCATGTAATATTATACCTACTCTAATTGCTGAGGAGTTACCTCTATCTCCCGGCTGGAAAAAGCTATCAGGTTTTCATTATTTCCTTTTATTTAGGATTATAAAAGCTATCTCTTTTTTTTTTCTGCCATGCTATTACAGTTCAAACCCCATTATATTAGATTATGCTTTACTAATATGTACACAGAGTTCATGAAAATTGAACTGTACTTTAAGAAGAAGCAAGCATAATTTGTGGCTACTTTAGCAATCGAGCTGATTTGTTCAGGGGCAGTTAACAGCCATTAGGAATCGAGAGGAAAAGTGGAAGATATATTTGCTTTGGGGTTTTTGGTGTGCCTTACATTTACATTGTGAAAGGAGGTAATCTCCTTATTTGAATTTGAGACTCCTAAAATGTCAAAGCAGGTCTGATTTTTTTGTATGTGTGTGTGGCATCTTACATAAGGGCTTTTTTTGATTTTCTTTTTCCACCTCCGCTATGTAATTTCTTGAAAATGAAATTCGCAGCAGCTCCATCAGGCTGCTCAAGCGGGAGAAGGAGGAACGAGCAGCACAGCCGCTCGCGCCGCTTAGCAGCACTTGTGTGCCCTACGGAGCCCCACCCAGCTAATTGCCTGACAGACTTAAAAAAAAAAATTCAGGAAGGAAAAACAGCCAATCACAGTCTTGGCCTTTCACACAAGGGAAAGAGATCACAAAAGGTGCCTCCTTTTTTTAAAGTGCAGGATTTTAATCATGACTGTCGCAGGTTTCTCAAAATATTCCTGAAGATGAGCCGATGTTGTTCATTCACTCTGCTTTTATCCTGAGTTATTTCCTGCACTGTATCATTTCATGGTGCTCCTCCTCCACATGTCAGGGAACACAGAGCGAGAGGGAGGCAGGTATGCCACCTCAGCCCCAGTGGATGTGTTCTTTGAGGAGGGGGGAGCTGAATTATTGGACAAGAGAAGGTCATTTTAGCCACAGAAACTTTCAGAGTGGGCCCAGCAACCTGAGGTTTTTCTTAAGTCAGCAGGTGTCTTATTTAATAGCCTCAGAAACCAATTAGAACTTTTAACAAACTATGGGAAGCATCTGTAGTCAATATGTAAATTTAATTGTCCTAAAATTATTATTGAGCTAAACTGCAGAGCTTCCAAAGAGGGAAGCAATGCTAATGTCATTAATTAATGCACCTTTGCTTTCAACAGCAAAGATGCCATGCCAGCTCTTGAAATCAGAGAGGAAATCTCAGATTCTGTATTCACTCTGCCGGCCTTTCAAAGAAATGATTGGTACAGCCCCCTCCCAAGAAAATGGATTTTTAACATTTGGTCCTCAGAAGCTCAGCCCTGAGAGTGCTTTATTGTGCTGGGTTTTACAATGGGTTTAATATAGCGGGGTGCCAAGGGGCGGGAGGGGAAGAACTTTACAATGTAGGTAAAGTAGGTCCTTTCAGGATGCAGACCAAAACTGGCAGTGTTTTATTTCATCCCTTAGGACTTTCCTAGTGGAGGTCAGCGTTTGTCATGCAGTTGTTCTGTGTTTGTGGGCATTTTTCTGCTGTAACTAGATCTCATTTTTTTTAAATTAAGAGAGAAAAAACATGCATAAAACCTTAAAAATTGGCGATGTGTTTTTCCTGCTCTTAATACTGATGATATTCTTGATTTACTAACAAAGCTCACAACTGGCATTCATCGTAACCATTTTTAATGAGTGAGGTTAATGCGAATGAAATGTCTTTTTCCATTCGTGTGCCCATTTCTGTTAGAATAACGAATGCACTGAATCACATACTGTTGATGCACATAGACAGAAACAGACTCATTTAAAAATTACTGTTTACATCTTTCCTTTAAAATTTTACGAAGCCTAAATTATATACCAGTTGTAGGATATTATTCAAAAATTACTTTCTAAAAAGTAAAAGTGGATGTCAACAAAAAAGGGGGGGGGAACATTGCCAGAAGCCAGAAAATCTCTAAGCAAAGCTGCTAATTATTCTTAATGGGCAAGATGAACACATTAAGGAACAAGTGAATACATCAGTGAAATGTAATTGAAAATCGACCTGGCAGTCACACATCACATCTGAGTAGTGGCCTGTGTATTATTCTCATCACTTTAAAAATTATTTTTGTTGTTCTTGGCATCTGCATTTAATGAATCTAACTGAGTCTTACTTCCTAGTCTCCTCATCTTCTAACATTCTGATTCTTACCTTTTTAAAAAAAATAAAGAATTTGCTGATATTTCCTTTTTATCTTCTGTTATTTCTGTTTTTTTTAAACATGTGAGGCAATGGAAGGATGCATTCTGAATCTTTATATCCTAGAAATGTATCAACCGGTTGTGAGGTTGGTTTATTTATTCCTAAAATGTATCATGTGAATTGGCTATGTCTTCTAGAGCTTTCTACCTGGACCCTGGAAAGCTAGATGTTGATCCGAGATTTGTTAAACAGAGATATATGAAAAGAGATTAAGACTTCAGGTGTAAGAGAATGTTGTAAGTCCTGAATGTTTTCTCAGACTCGTGGGTAGATGCCCCTGAGGTTTTCCTTGGTCCTTAAACTAGCTGCATTGCTGTCTCTCTCACACGGCCTCTACCTCAGAGCTGCCTCTCCTCACAGTTGCCCTAATTTAGCTATGCCCAAACAGAACCAAGGACAAGTTAGAAAATGACATCATTTGGTTCATCTATTTCTCAACTTTATCCTAAAATAATTGTGAAATGTGTTCGCTTTTCTCTGGCACTGCCCTTTTAGTGTAATGAAGACTTCTCCAGGTAAAGGGGCCTCCTAAAGTAGAGGGTGGGGAGCAGAATGTCAGAATACATCTGTTCAGGTAACATTTTAATACATTTTGACCGCGGATAACTATTAATCCATCAAGTTTGTGGCCAGCGATGGCAATGGCATAGCAACAGGAGAGAGAAAGGATATACTCAGTTATTTTTCATGCTAAGCTTCTTCCAGACCATAACGAATAAAAGTACAGCACCTAAAGGTGAGCAGCCCTCTCTGCTACACTCACGAATTCACCCAGCCCCAGCACCCCGCCTTGGCCCATCCTTAGGAAACATCGAGTGTGTTAGCTGCAGAACATGGCAATGCTTGGGGACTCATGTCTCGTGCTCCTGACCCCAGCATCTTCTCTGCACAGTATGCACAGTCTGGACCATGATGTGAAACATAAGGGTCTTCAAAAATTGGTAAATTTCCTGTACATTTTAAAGGAGATACCCCTGGCTTAACATTATTCTAACAGAATCCCCGATTTAAGGGGTAAATCAAATAAACTTCATGTGGACCGTGCAGTCTGCGTGGTGGGTGGTTGAGACCCCAGGAATGCCAGGCCACCGTCCTGTGTCCAGGCCCCCTTCTCCAGTGTCAGTGACAGCTGCGATACTGTTGCCAGTTCTTCTCTTTACTGGGTGGGTCATAAATGGGCTCCATGTGTCTCACATTGGGTAAGAACTCAACACATAACTTAGTTTATTAAAATGAATTCAACCAGTATTAACTGGATGCATTTCAGATGCTAAAGATACATCAGGGGACAAGGCAGACCAAGCCCCTGTCTTTGTGGGACGCAGACCCTGCCTTGGCTAGAGCATGTTGATGTAGGTGAAAGACACTGGAAATCTACACAGCAGAAATTCTTTGATTCCCTCTAGTTATTTAAATTCTACTATGTAAATGTTCACTTAATTAGTTCTGAGTAGCAAGGAAAGAAGATAGAGTTAATTGCCAAACCTCATTTTAGTTACAATCACCAGCCTCTTCATCCCTCCAAAGCTTTTACTTGAATCATTGAAAAATAAAATGAATCGACATGAATTAGGAACCTACTATGTGTCAGGCTCCTCATATATGTGATACTCCATTAAGCCTTTATAGTAGGTATTGTTATAGTAGGTATCATTATTTCTATTTTTGAGGTGGAACTCGGAGAGGTTATTTTACCCAAGTTCACACAGCCACTAAAAATCGGAACCAGCTCTAGAAGCCAGGTTCATTTGATTGCAAAGTGTAACAGGGCTGGACAAAAGTAGGTTATGCAGTTGTTTGTGTGGGAAAAGACATGCAGGTCATGATGATTACAATAGTTTTACTAACTCAAAATGCCAGCCTTCATTATTTACGCATTGCCGTAATCTACTTGCTATACTCAAGCACACGTCGGCACAAAGTTCTTTATAAACCTATTTTTGCCCACCCCGGTGTATTTTTCCCATGACGCGATTCTGGTTTACCAAGAGGGAGGACACTGTGATGAGCGTCGTCTTGCATTTGCTCAGCACCCCCTGGAAGAGACGTTCTCCCGCCCACAGGCCACAGGTGACGGTGTAGAAAGAGTTCAGAACGCTTCTCCGTCATCTTCTCACTGCAGCTGAGCCATAAACACACTGAAGAATCTTTTGCAGCCTTTACATTAGCAACTGTTGTCACATCAAGTAATTTAAAAGACTGTAGAGATCAAAGTGAACAGGAGTTATACGATAATTTCATAGTTTCCTACCCTCACCTTTGATGTTCCAATGCAAATAATGGAAACATGAACCAAGAAAGTAATGTCTAGTGAACTACAATGTTATTATTTTTAAAATATTTTCTTGCTTAAAGAGTAATGCCAATTTTCAAAATGTATATGAAATACAGATAAATATTACAGTTACTAATAGAGGAGGTTAATATTTTAAATGTTTTATATATAACAGATAACATAATTTGTTTAAATAACTTACTGTTATTATACAAAAGTATGTATTTTAAAAATAAACATCAACTGAAACAAAATTGAAATGGAGCCCCACTCCTAACCTGTGCTTTATTTGGGATGAAAATCTGGGGCTAGAATCCCGGTTTCCTTTTAGCCACCAGTGTATGTCCTGTGGCTCTGGAAGTCCAGTGGCAGACCAGGTGATGGGAGGTGATTACGCTGTGTCCACTTCATCAGAAATCACTCCCGCTTTCTGGGCACCCAGCACCTCCCAGTGAAGTCCTTCGGAAGGTGGGTGCAGCTCAGAGAACACAGTTTGGTCCACTCTGTGCAAAACTCCCCTGACCTACAGGGTGGGGGGCAGAATGTCGATACATCTTTTCAGGTAACATTTTAATACACTATTGACATTTTTTCCTTTTTGTACTTGTTTTAATGTAAAGAACACCTCCTAAACTACAAAATATATTTTCTTTACAGTCCTAAAAATAAAGCAGCCTAAATATTGCTATGAATTTTTTTCTTTTAAAAATTGCTTCTAGGATATAAATACATATGTTCGCTTCAGCCTGACCACCTGGAGTTAGAGGTTTATAAATTATATAAGAGTATACGGTATTAAGATGTTTACCAAAAATTATTAATAGGTTTTCTGAGTTATATATTTTAACTTCCCTATGACTATTTTATAAAAAGTATAGCCCCGGCTGGTGTAGCTCAGTGGATTGAGCGCGGGCCTGGAATCAAGAGATCGCGGTTCAATTCCCAGTCAGTGCACATGCCTGGGTTGCAGGCCAGTTCCCAGCAGGGGACACACGACAGGCAACCACACATTGATACTTCTTTCCCTCTCTTTCCCCCTTCCCTTCTAAAGATAAATAAATAAAATATCAAAAAAAAATCTTAAAGAAAACGTATTACCTCCACTAACAAAATAACATGTTTTGCTCGATAGATTAGTCATGTACTTATACGACACTGCGGATGTACCTGCCACATGCTTGCTGGTGGCTGTCATGGAAACACTGAGTAAGGTGTGGCCGGTACCTAATCAAAAACAGTTGTCAGTTGACTCTACTAATTTTGTTCTCCTCAGAATAAAGATGTCAGCTGTCCTTTTCCACAAGACATTTCATGCAGAAGACTTTCCTGAAATACTTTCTTCCTGAAATAGAACTGTAGGCCGATGTGTCATTTTAGTTAATCAAAACAAGTAGGCAAATTAGTCTCTTTTATTTTTTTAATGAATGTAATTTAACGGTATTTAATTTGCATACAGGAAAGTTCATCCAGTAATAAAAAAAAAGTCTGCATTATAGCACTTTTGTAAACCTCAACAAAGCCCTTCATTAGGAGACCTAATTGATTTTTCCTACCCACTCCTGGGGAAGAAAACTATCACAGTACCTGCTTATTCACTCGGAGAAGAAATGGGTGTGCCTGGGGCTTCAAGCAGAGATTTGGGCTAAAAAGTCCTGTGGCTCTGTTCTTGCAGGGAGACCTTGGCCAATGCTGGTTTCAGGCATTCAGGAAATCTGTTTTTCTGAGCAATAGGGGAACATCGCTTGTCTGCTTGGTGTCCTCCCCAGGGGCCCAATTTAGTTCAGCTTGTGGCCTTTGCTGGAATTATTTTATTTCTTGTTTATTGAAACCTGCCCTATTCCAAAAGAAAGATTTTGAGCTTTCTTACAGTGGCACATAGAATATACCATGGAAAATAAATGAGAAAGTGAGGGCAATTGGAAATTAGAAAGCCAAAAAAATATAAAATGTGATGAAGCCAGGAATGGACGTTAATATGGAAAATATGCCCAGTGGTAAGACTCAGGTCATGCATGTGGCCCTGACTGCACAGGGACCTGAGCAAAAAGAAAAAGAGGAACAGTTGTAAGGCTTACAATGTCCAGAAGTTGAAGCACAACCAATCAATCTGAAGTCTAGCTTTTCCCATGTTGGGACCCAACATGATTTTCCCATGACTCTCTCATAAAGATGGTGTTGTGTGATGTAATGGACTAGCGCCTCAAAACACCTTTTCAATAAACATGGCTCTTCTAATACAAGTCCTTACAACTAGCAGATGGCCGAAGGCTAAAGCATTAGTCTGTAAGGACAGTTCTTCAAGGGGTCTTCCACTGGATTGACTTTCGTCTTCAGGAATTCACTTCCTCTCAAATATTCTCCAAGCTTTTCTCCATCTTTCTCATCTCACTTTCTCCTAAGTCTTTCCCTGCTGCTCACTCCCTCCCTCCCTAGTAGCATTTGAGAGACTGAAAAGACCTCAACTTGGAACATTTCAGAAGACTACCACTGCTCTCCCCACTGACTGGGACACCTTTGCCTTTTCAGCAAGTGAGGCCTGGCACCTATGGGATGGTCCTGTCCTTCTACCAGCGCCCATCTCCCTGGGCCTTTCCTGGGTGCTACCTGAAAGTACATTTCCCAGGCAACCAAACTGCAGCCTAGAGAATTAAAAGAGCTTGCTTGGTGGCAAGTAACTCAACATTTGCTGGCAGAGCCAGGGCTGGAACCTTCTCTGCCTGCATTATACTCCATAGCGCTTCCCTGTTCACCGTTCAGATCTCGTGTCCAATAAGATTACTGTGTTTCTGGGCTTTGATTTATTCTTTTTTTAGTCAATTGACAATTGCTGCAGAAGCTTTCTTAACTGTGCCAATAGATGTGAGAGACATCATCGAAAGGAATCGGAAGGCTGGTGCGTTTAAGGCTCGGAAAATATCAAGCTGGTAAGATACTTTTCTACCTTTCTGGACCAAAACACTGGTTGAAACTGCTTTTATCCATACTGTGGGTGATGATTAAAAATAATAATAGCTAACATTTAGTGATCATTTACTGTGTGTCAGGCACTGTTCTACACACTTGAAAAGTACCTTATTTAATGTCACAAGAACCCATAATAAGGCAGGCAAGCATTCTCATTACCTTTAATTAATAGATGAGAAAACCTGAAGGTAAGTATACTATACACTGGGTAGGAATTATTTAGGGTGGAGAATATACAATATGAACTTGGGAGAAACCCAGTCCGGGACCTTCTGTGAATGTCTGTATTGCACTGGTTCTCAACATGGGGACATTTTTTTATTGTCATGACTAGGGGGATGGGGTTGCTAACAGCATTCGGTGGGTTGAGGCCAGGGATACTGCTAGAGACACCCAACACAGCACAGGACAGACCCCTCACCCCACCCCTCACCAAAGAAGTTCCTGGTCTAAAATGTCAGTAGTGCCAAAACTGAGAAACCCTGCTTGATTCCATGATTTTAAAATAGTCTAGGTATCCATTCCCTTTTACATGTTGCTAATTCTTATCCAAACTAGGAGAAATGCTTACCTCATCATTGAGGTGCTTCATTTTATTTTTGTTCTGTTGTATAGGCCTAGAGGAAAGCGTAAACATTTAGTAGTTTTCACTTGAAATAATCTGTATTTGTGCATTTTTTTCTATCATACGTTTAGCTCCAAACATCATTAGAACAATCCACTTTTTAAATTATTTATGATGGTTGAGGGTGTTCTCCCACTCCAACTGCTCGATGTGGGGGTGGGGTCGGATGAAGACTAATGATGCTTATAAACCAAAGTGGCCAGCCTGTGGGGATGAGGCTATGGAATAGCAAAGATTGGTTTTGTTTCTGTTGGTTGGTTGGTGAATGTCATGAAGTGTCCAGATCCACATTTTTAAATCCTGCATTAGAATCCTGGCTGAGGACACGGAGGGCAGCGTCTCTGAGTCTCTGTGTAAACCAACAAACCAGCTCTGCTGGCCCGCACACCTCCGCAGGTCCCGAGAAAGAGTGGCCTGCTCCCCACTCTTCATTCCCAGCACAGCCTTCACCTCACAGTGTGGGCTGCTGTGCCCTTCTGGGGAGGCCTGTGCTCCTGGACGTGATTTTCAACCTGGTCTTTTAGTCATCAATCAAAAGCACATTTCCTTTGTTGTCCTCATTTACATTTATTTAATGCTTAAGGTCATTTGTGACCATTTGAGTGTATTTCAGCATATGGAATCAGGGAATAATAGATTTCAGCATCATGCTGTGAAGAGAGATTGTGTTTTTACAAGACATAATGTTGTTTACTGGGTGTTAATAATCACTAATTAATAAACATATCTAGACTTCTTAAATGTTTCATTTTGAGGAATAAAAATGTCAAGTGTTTAACTTATGGAGTTTAACAGTATTTTCCATCATCTCTTCATAAAATAAGTTACATACAGAAGCAAAATGCCATTGTTCAACATAGGACATATCCAAAATGCTTACTATCTGGCCTTTGTTTCTATTATCTGTTCTCAAGAATGCCATTTCTAAATATATAGTTCTGATATGTACCTAGTCATCTAGTCTGTATGTCGACAGTCATATAGGAACCTCTAAAATGGTTTTTTTATCTTTATTGCATATTAACTCTGATCAGTTTCTCCCTTTTTGAACCCTTCATTTTGTCTAAAGTCTACTAAAGCACTTTGTCAAAAAAACAGGTGGATGAGCCAGTCTTTGAAATGCCTTGATCTCGTATTAAGAAGCTACTTGACCACTTAACCTTCAAGAAGCTAAGAAGAAACTGCCAACCAATGATGTAATAATCAGAATCCCCCTTCTCTCCATGGCTTTCCCACCCGTAACCAGTATAATATGATAAAAGCATTAGCTCCATGTGAGAAGAAATAAAAGTAAACCGCTCACAAAAGAGCTAAGATATGGCTCAATATTCTTTTTTAGTGCCTCAACGCATAGGCTGAATCTCTCCCCCAAACTGGAGGCGTGGAATAACAGTAGCGACAGATAACGAAGAGGTATTTACCATAGCTACAAAACCCACACGTTAGCCAAATATTTCTGCTCTTAAAAAGCACTTCAAAGCTTGACATGAAGTTTATAACAGCTAAATGTCTCCTGTGACTTCATTTGCAAAGAAGATATAAAAGCAGAAAGGTAAATCATGATATGAGAACCGTGAGCCTAGGAAACTGTTTTTAAAAAGGAATGAGAAACCACCCAAGAATGTGACCTGCACCCCGAGCTCCCACCTCACGGCTTTGACAGCGCTCAGTCACAGCCCGGCTTCCACCCCCAACTGAGCCTCTGCCTGCCTCCCAGACAGGGCAGACCCAGGCTGTGTGGGCCTGGAACTTACTTTGGGGCCCTCTTTAGGGGGATGAATTTTATTATACCTGACTTGGGCAGATTTTACGGGAGCACACTCCCAGGTGCACTCATGGCTGGGGCTCCTCACGGGCCTTGGAAGGGACCTGTGCAAGTTAGGGGTCCCGGCACTGAAGCATCATTAGCTTCACAGGAAATTCAGCTCTGCGCTCGTAAACACCAGCAACCTTGCCTCGAATGATGCGCTTCCCTTTTAAACTTTTTCACTCCCTCTGTTCCATCGTAATCCCTGTTTCACTGTTGCTGAATATGAAAGACATGTTTGCAAAAGCCCAGAGGCTTTAGCCCTGGCCAAGAAAGCTCTAGCATGTACTTATAGGAAGCGTATAGCCATTACATCTCAAAGATCTTAATACAGTCATTTGATGTTTTATTCATTCAATCCTTGCAGCTATCCATTCATTTAACTATGGCCAAGGCATTCTGCCTTGAGAACATAACTGTGGAGTACTCAAGAATAATTCCTGAACAAAGGAAACTGTGCTGCTAAATATAGCTAGAGATTGGTGAAAGAGCAAAGATATTTACAGCATCTCCATTGTTAGGTTTATCTGAAGCTGTCTTGAAAACTGTGACTGTCTAATAAAGAACCACTCAGAGTGTTTGACGTCTACCTATTCCTAGGTGTTCTGGAACTGGTGAATGGCATCACTCTCTGGTTAATATTAACAGTTACAAAATTTTAAAAAATCTATTAAATGTACCCTGCTGTGATATTAAAAGTGAATTTCTATGTAAGAAAAAAGGTTATCTTTGTGTGAAAATTGCTAGTGAATTTAGGCCTGTGACTTTTATTATTCTTTGATAAACCATTAATCTTAGTAAACTATGGAACTTATTATAACTTTAAGACTTTTTTATAACTCAAATTATACCCTTATGTGGGCCCCCAGGATTGGCTATTGGCCCCATTGCCCTACTTCTTTTTAAAATTTATATCTTTTCTGAGGCTCTTTTTTCTTTAGAGATTAAATTGGGGGTATGAAAAATGATTTTTAAAATGTGAGCCCTGCCCCAGTGGGATCCGACGAGTGCTTTTTCCAGGCCTCTGTAGTCTTCTCACTTGCCTCGTTCTCTTTCCATCTGGCTTCCACTGCTGCCAACATACACCTTCTCCTCTGTCACCCAAGCCTCTTCCTTCACCTCCCAACACACGTGGTCCTTTCCGTCTCTGGTCTTTGCCAGTCTTATCCCCTTCTCCTCATCCATCTAAGTCCTTCCTTCCAGGATGACTTAATTACCATTTCTCAGGCTATTTAAGCTTGCCCTCATCTTTCCCTCCCGTTAATTTCTTTTCACCTTAGAATAGTCCCAGTAAAACATGGTATATTCTCCTATTTTTCAAAGCAAGCTGTCTTTGTTTTCATGTTCATTGGTGCAGTCATTTCTTGAAGTTATTTTGATCCCCTTGTCTGCCAAGTACTAGTCTAAGTGCTAGAGATATAGTGATGAACAAGAGTAAGTTCATGTCTTCTTCCTTATTTCTAAATTATATTTTATTGATTATGCTGTTACAGTTGTCCCAATTCTTCCCCATTTGTTCCCCTCAACCCAGCATCCCCCATTCCCTTGGGCCATCCCTGCGCCATTGGTCATTTCCATGGGTCATGCATATAAGTTCTTTGGCTACTCCATTTCCTATACTGTACTTTACATCCCCATGGCTATTCTGTAACTACCTGTTGGTACTTCTTAATCCCCTCACCTCTTCATCGATTCCCTCACACCTCCCCTCCCATCTGGCAACCATAAGAACACTCTCTGTATCCATGATTCTGTCTCTGTTCTTGTTTGCTTAGTTGGTTTTTCAGATTCAATTGTTGATAGTTGTGGATTTATTGCCATTTTGTTGCTCGTACTTTCTGATCTTCTTTTTCTTAAATAAGTCCCCTTAACATTTCATATATTAATGATTTGCCGATGATGAACGCCTTTAGTTTTTTTTCTTGTCTGGGAAGCTCTTTATCTACCCTTCATTTCTAAGTGATGTCTTTGCTGGGTAGAGCCATCTTGATGATAAGTCCCTGCTTTTCATGACTTTCAATATTTGTTGCCAATCCTTTCTAGCCTGCACAATTTCTTTTGAAAAATCAGCTGACAGCCTTATGGGGATTCCCCTGTAGATCATTAATTGCTTTCCTCTTGCTGCTTTTAAGATTCCCTTTTTATCTTTAACCTTTGTCATTTTCATTAGGATGTGTCTTGGAGTGGGCCTCTTTGCATCCATCTTGTTTGGGAGACTCCGGGCTTCCTGGACTTGCATGTCTACTTCCTTCACCAGAGTAGGGAAGTTTTCTTTCATTTTTCAAATAGAGTTCCAATTTCTTCTTTTTTCTCTTCTCCTTCTAGCACCCCTACAATACAAATGTTGGACATTAAAGTTGTCCCACAGGCTGTTTACACTATCCTCATGGTTGGTTTTTTTTAAAATTTTTATTTCTTCTTGTTGTTCTGATTGGTTGGTTTTTGCTTCCTTCTATTCCAAATCATTCATTTGATTCTTGGTTTCATCTACTCTACTGTGGTTTCCCTGTAAATTGTTCTTTACTTTA